AGCAAGTCATGCCTGACCAACCTGATTGCTTTCTATGATGAGATAATTGGCTCTGTGGATATGGGGAAAGCAGTGGACGTGATATACCTTGACTTTAACAAAGCTTTTGATATGGTCTCCCACAGTATTCTTGCCAGCAAATTAAAGAAGTATGGATTAGATGAATGGACTATAAGGTGGATAGAAAGCTGGCTCAACAGGTATTGATCAACGGCTCAATGTCTCGTTGGCAGCTAGTATCAAGCAGAGTGCCCCAGGGGTCTATCCTGGGGCTGGTTTTCTTCAACATCTTCCTTAATGATCTGACTGATGGTATGGATTGCACCCTCAGCAAGTTTGCAGGTGACACTAAGCTGGGGGGAGAGTTAGCTACACTGGAGGAGTAGGGATAGGGTCTATAGTGACCTACACAGATTGGAGAATTGGTCCAAAAGAAATCTGATGACGTTCAACAAGGACAAGTGCAGAGTCCTGCACTTAAGTTGGAAGAATCCCATGCACCGCTACAGGCTGGCTAAGCGGCAGTTCTGCAGAAAAGGACCTGGGGATTACAGTGGATGAGAAGCTGGAAATGAGTCAACAATGTGCCCTTTTTGCCAAGAAGGCTAACATTTTGCCAAGAAGGCTAACATATATTGGGCTGCATTAGTGGGAGCATTTCCCACAGATTGAGGGAAGTGATTATTCCCCTCTATTTGGCACTGGTGAGGCCACATCTGGAGTATTGTATCCAATTTTGGGCCCCCCACTACAGAAAGAATGTGGACAAATTGGGGAGAGTCCAGCGGAGGGCAACTAAAATGATTAGGGGGCTGGGGCATATGAGAGGAGAGGCTGATGGATCTGGGCTTATTTAGTCTGGAGAAGAGAAGAGTGAGGGTGGATTTAATAGCAGCCTTCAACTACCTGAAGGAGGGCTCCAAAGAGGATGGAGCTGGATTGTTCTCAGTGATGGCAGATGACAGAACAAGGAGCAATGGTCTCAAGTTGCAATGTGGGAGGTCTAGGCTGGATATTAAGAAAATCTATTCCACTAGGAGGGTGGTGAAGCACTGGAATGGTTTACCTAGGAGGTGGTGGAATCTCCATTCTTAGAGGTTTTTAAGGCCTGGCTTGACAAAGCCCTGGCTGGGATGATTTAGTTGGTATTGGTCCTGCATTGAGCAGGGGGTTGGACTAGATGACCTCCTGAGGTCTCTTCCAACCCTAATCTTCTATGATTCGATGATTCTATACTTTTTGACTATTCATATGGGATTTAGTATAAAACAATTCAAAATAAAGTGAAGAAATATGAATTGCAGGAAGTTTCCTAGAATGTTAGATCTGTGACTGATCAGTTCATTGAGGTGAAATAATGTGGCAGAATTTTAAAAGATTCAATAACATTATTACCACTTACCTATGGCCAAAAATATGTACTCTTCTTGAATGGGTGAATTCCATAGAGCTGAATTTGGTGATTTTCAGTAGTCTAATCTCTTCAGAAATCTGGCAGGTTTATTGCACAAAGCTAATAAGAAATAAGCACTGAGTTGTTGTAGATCTATGGGAATGGGCTCTGGGCTCTGGTTTCCAGGCACTGAAACTCTCTTAATCATAGAATCATAGAATTCTAGAATAAGAATTCTTATTCTCCACAATCTCTGGGAGATTCTTATTCTAGAATAAGAATAAGAATATTCTTATTCTAGAATAAGAATTCTAGAATAAGAGGGAAGGTCCTCTCATTGAACAGTAGCTGGTTAAAAGATAGAAAACAGAGGGTAGGAATAAATGGCCAGCATTCACAAAAGAGAGAGATAAATAGTGGGGTCCCCCAGGAATTTGTACTAGGACCAGTGCTATTAAACACGTTTGTAAATGATCTGGAAAAAGGGTTAAAGAGTGAGGTGGCAAAGTTTGCAGATGATACAAAATTATTCAAGTTAGTTAGATCCAAAGCTGAATGCGAAGAGTAACAAACTGATCCCACAAAACCGGGTGACTGGGCACCAAAATGGTGGATGAAAGTCAATGTTGATAAAAAAAATAATGCATGTTGGAAAAAATAATCAAATTCCTGCATATACAATGATGGGGTGTAAATTAACTGTTACCTCTCAAGAAAGAGATCTTGGAGTCATCGTGGGTAGTTCTTTGAAAACATCTGCTAAATATGCACCAGGAGTCAAAAAAAGTTAACAGAATGTTAGGAACCATTAGGAAAGGGATAGATAAGAAACAAAATATCATAATGCCACCAGATAAATTCATGGTATGGCCACATCTAGAATATTGTGTGCAGTTCTGGCCGCTCTATCTCTGAAAAGATATATTAGAATAGCAAACAAAATGATTATGGGTATAGAACAGCTTCAATATTACAAATCCAAAGAAATAAGCATAATTTACCTTCGCTTGGACTAACTCCTTGATTCTTTGCTTCAGCAGGCACACTTGTGCTGTCTGGACCAACCACCTCTGTCCTGTATTCTCCCTTGCCATATCGGCCATGTTTCTGCCAAGTGACTTAAGTGCATTTAAGAGTTAATTTATTGTGCTTCTATTTTCCCCCATTGAATTTTTTTCTTTGCTGCTTTTCAGACCAAGCTTCCACTACCTTCTTGTTGGGTGACTTGCATTTTTCCTAGTTCTGACTGCAGTGGCATTTGTGCCACCAATTCCAGAGTTTACTCAGAAGTTCTCTGTACATTTTTTGCAAATTTCTCATGTACAATCTCAACTAGATAGTTTGGTGTTCTTCTTGACTGATATAAAAGTTACAATGCTCATTTGTTTTGTAACAGGTCTCTTATAAATCTATCTCAGGTACTTTTTGGCCCTTGTTACCATAGCGTCTGAGTACGTGACAATCTTTAGTGTATTTGTCTCCACAATACCCCTGTAAGGAAGAGAAGTTCTGTTATCCCCATTTTACAAATGGGAACTGAAACACAGCAAGACTAAAGGTCACGCAAGAAATCTGTGATGGAGCAGGGAATTGAACCCACGTCTTTTGAGTCCCTAGCTAGTGCCTAACTGTTGGATCATCCCTTTGACCTGTTTTATAAAGACTTCTGCTTTGTCTGTGCCTCTACACTCCTTGGGAATACATGTGTATTACTGAAATACAATTTATCTCATACAGTTAGCTTTTATCCAAGTAGGATTAGATCACATGTTTTCCTGACTCATCAACCTGTGCTCTAATAAGTAGACAGTGCTGTCTGTTGGCTTGTCTTCTGGTCTGACCAGAAATGATTTGAGACTAATGCTCAGGATGTTTCCAGTTTTAGAAAACACAAACGCCAAGCCAACGAAAACATGTGTTTGCTTTATATCAGAGCAGTTAGCTTTATATTGGAATAGCTACTCATGTTCTTGTGCCCCAACTACGGGAACTGGTGTAAATCACAGATTAAACAGCAACCTTTGTTAATAGTATGTTTTAGTAAGAGAAATGTGAGTCTCTTTACATTGTGAGTCTTAATACAATGTGGGGCATATCTACCATAATTCAGCTTTGTTGATTTAAAAATGCACTGGTATTTGAATTAAATTAAATATATTATTGTTCAGCGTTCTCTTTTCAAAACACAATAGCACTGATGTTTTTCAGTTGCTTACATTACTTAATAATGCCCTTGTTTGCATTGAAATTCATAGCAGCAAAGCTGTTTCTGTTAAATCTATTTTAGGCTCAACTTTGTAAACATTTCCTTTCCTCATGATAAAAAAAGCATCCAGGTGATTTACGGTAAATATGCCATAGTTACATTTTATTTTTAAACATTTGCTTTTAATATTTAATTTTTTAAAAGAAAATTTCATTTGACTTTTTATAACCTGGAATTGTGTTGCAAAAATTCTGTTTTTTATAGGCGGTAAGTTAGTACAGCTCCTTATCTTCAGACCATATAAAATATATATTAATAAATGAATAACAAAGTGCACATTTTTATTTCTTGCTGAAACAAGTTGTGCTACTTCATTTAAATTATTTTCAATGTTTGTATGCTAATTTAAAATTTAAATTTCATTATTTAATAGTTGGCATACTATTTCAGGAAATTTATAATACTTTCATTAACCAATATTTAAAATACAGTTTTTGGGAAATGAAAAAATTGCTGCTGGTGATAGAATTTTGGTAGGATTTGCAGTAAAATGCATTGAACAATGTATTTTAGTATAATCAAAAAAGATTTCAAAATTAATTTGATGTCACTGATATTAACAGGTAGACTTGAAATTTCAATCCCATATATTAGGTTAACATCTGCATTTATGACTGAACATCTTGGTATGACACGTATTATTTTGTTCTGTATATGAGAACATATGAAGATGACTTCACATCTTGTGACTTTTCTTTGATGAAGCTTGTTAATAGCATACATTAACAATTGCTTACTTTTGAAGTTCTGACCATGAATTTATAATTTTTTGGAAATACAACAAGGGGTTTTTCATCTGTATATAAAAAAAATTGCTAATATGTACTTCACAGCCTATACAACTTCATTTGTCTTTTAATGTCTTCTGGACTTTAAAAAAAATGTATCTAGTGTGAATTGAATTGTCCACAATCTTTAAAAGGGTCTATTGATTTTCAGAGGAAACCCTTCTTGTGAGTCTGTCAGAAAAAGCTGCCAACACAGAGCAAATTCCGCACAGTGTAATTGGCAGAGATTAGAGGCTGCAGCAGCTATAATAATGAATAGATTCAAGATCAATGGGGGTAGGATTAAAAAATGGTGAAAGAGTAGAAGAAATATCTTTCCTAAATATGAAAGATTGCTTCCAATGAGTTTAGATCCCAAATGACTTAAATGACATGAAAAAATAAATAAAATAGGCTGTGTATCTGGCAAGGGCAGCTACTTGAATATCTGTTATTTTGGGAAAATTACCTTACATTTTTGTGGAATTGTTTTGTTCCTGTATTGTATTTTTACCAAAATATTTTACTTTTGCTTTGTGGTTGATGTTGTCCATATAAAATCTTTCTCTTCCAGGCAGTGCTCCGAGTGTGACCAGGCAGGTAGCAGTGACATGGAAGCAGATATTGCCATGGAAACCTTACCAGATGGGACCAAGAGATCAAGGAGGCAAATTAAGGAACCAGTGAAATTTGTTCCACAGGATGTGCCACCAGAACCAAAGAAGATTCCAATCAGAAACACGGTAAATGACAACTTAATTGTCATTGAATAGATCATATTCATAATTATTTGGCTTAGTATTTGTAAAATTGGGACCTTTAGGGTACGATGAATTAGCGCTGTATTTAAATAATGGCAACCTATGACATTCTAATATGGTTGTAAAAACTATTTTCTCTGATTATTAGATACTTAATTTTTTGTCTCAAAAGGTGATTTACTTGACTTCTGAGGAAGTACCTAAAATAATAATGCTGGTAACTGTGTACTTCAAAGAATGGTAGAGCAAGCTTTCCCTTTAAACTGTAGGTTGCCAAGTCAAATAAAATAAAATTCACCACAAGTAGGTAACAGCCAGAAATCTTTATATTTTGACTGATGTTCTCTGGTCTATGTGAAATAGTCAATTTGTGTCACCTAACCCACCACAGTTGGCATGATTTGTCATCCTGCTTGGCAGTTTCAATGAATAGCCATAAAGAATAAATGATTTTTACCCCCTAGCAGTGGTTTATCTAAGATAATAAAGAAGAAGATTACACCTTTTCTACTTCTTGTCTTGAGGGGAGACAGAGGTCTTCGTTGTCAGGGGCTGTCACTTGGGTTTATTTTATACACTTGGGTATATTTTATTTTTTTTAAAGTGAGAAATACTCAAAGTTGCATTGTACAGATAATTTTAACTTGATTCTTCACAGTACTTGGTAAAAGAAGAAGTAGCGATACTTTGGTACTTGAGATAAGTTCTAAAGGATACTTTGCAAAAGTAATCAATTTGATATTACCCGTTATATTATTAAAAGGTAATTAATTGATTAATTTTGCACGTGTGAGTGTGTGTGTGTGTGTATGTTTATAAAAATGTGATTTTCACAGTTAGTGTAATGGATTCCTCTAACAGCCATGGCAGCGGGGATAAAAACAATAGTTTAAAAATTTTTGGTATGTCTCAAAAACACTATGTAATGTCATTATATGTTTATCATTTATCATTTGAACCTTTATGTGTTCCATTTTGCACAATTTTATATATGCTTTAACGTGCTTTCGAGTGTGCTGTCTAACAATATACTTTGCAGTGCTTCTGCTCTCAAAACCCCCCCCATCAAAAACAAACGAACAAAAAAGCAACCATTATTGGATGCTTTTAATAAACAGAAATTTTGTTTTTTTTACTGGCAAAGCAAAAAGCCTGTAGATCATTCCCTTGAAAGCGGAGCTACTATTAATCGTGACTGTATTCTCTTATCATTTCCCACCGTACGCCGATCCTTCAAGATTTGTTTTCCTACATGTTTCTAATTAAAGGCTTTTATTGGATTTTTCATTATAATACAATACTGCATAACAAGATTAACAGAGAACTTGAAAAAATATCCATAAATACAATCAAAGGTATAATTTTTTCTAGAATACAGTCCTTTGGTCTCTCACCTGTCACGTTTGGGGCTGTGTGGCGTCTGCGACCCTTAGGTTGTATATGAACTATGGTTCATCTGCAAAAAGATATACCCAAAATAATTACCGCTGCCTCTTCCCCCCTCACCCCATCTCAGACTAGCCATATCCATTGTTTATTACATGGCGTTACTAGATTTTCTTAAAGCAATCTGCTTTGGAGTCTCATTATGCTTTGCTTATGTTGTCCAGCTAACCTTTGATGTGGTTAAGCTATGAATTCTTACGATTGCTAGAAGTTTTTATCCACATCAGAATCTTGACATTGGGATTGTTTTTTGACCTGCAGAACCTGTTGTCAAAATTTTGAGCTCCAATCCAAGGAATGCTTTCCTTTCCTGTTCCAGCAGTTAGGAAGAACTTTAAGAATCATTCAGGACATAGGGGCTAATTCAGTTCAGCCTGTAGGAATGACAAGGCCAGGAAGAGAGGGCACATGAATAAACCAAAGAACCTCTTTGCATAGGAAGAAAATAAAAGTTTCTTCAGCTTGAAGGAAAGTTCCATTTCTGACTGATAGGCTCTTGAAATCATCTTAATGAAATTAAATCATCTTATTTTTTTTAAAATGTCACCCTAGTTTTGAAAGCTTTAAAGTGATAAGGCTTAAAGAATCAAGCAATGAAAGGACATAGGAGTAGTGGCTCCTATTCTCAGGGAGGAGTCTGAATCAGATTTTTCATTCCCCTCTCCACACTCCCTCAGGTGACTATTATAGTTGTAAAAAGAAAAGGAGTACTTGTGGCACCTTAGAGACTAACCAGTTTATTTGAGCATGAGCTTTCGTGAGCTACAGCTCACTTCATCAGATGCATACCGTGGAAACTGCAGCAGACTTTATATATACACAGAGAATATGAAACAATACCTCCTCCCACCCCACTGTCCTGCTGGTAATAGCTTATCTAAAGTGATCATCAGGTTGGGCCATTTCCAGCACAAATCCAGGTTTTCTCACCCTCCACCCCCCCACACAAATTCACTCTCCTGCTGCTGTAGCTCACGAAAGCTCATGCTCAAATAAATTGGTTAGTCTCTAAGGTGCCACAAGTACTCCTTTTCTTTTTGCGAATACAGACTAACACGGCTGTTACTCTGAAACCTGTTATTATAGTTGTAAATCCTGAACACCATCATGAAAAAATGGATTATCTAAGGGAAAAGATGGATTTGTGGCAAAGGCACAAAACTAAAATTGGGAGATATGTTTTTTGTTTCAAGCTGTGACAGATGTTTTGCTGAATCATTTAATCTTACTATTCCTCAGTTTCCTCATCTAAAAAATGTGGCTAAGCCTCATGAGGGTGAGGCTAAGTTTAATTAATGTTTGCAATGCATTTTGAGATCCTTGGTTGTGTGTTAAAGTGCCCTCGGGAACCAGCAGGATCTACACAGACCAGTTAATGCACAACTCATTAGTACTCTTTAGAAATCATATCTTCGTAGTGTGTATTGCCACACCATGTGTAGAATCTAAGAAACTTTGTCATTGTTTACCTTGAATGTTACTATTATGTAAGTTTAAGAGTCTGTGATGCATTCAGTATCTCACACCACATGGCCAATTTCATCATTCTGTAATCTCTTAGTTTTAAGACTTAATTGTTTCCCTTTTCCGTGCCTTTGGAGATGCTGGTAATTCAGTAGTTATTCCTCCTACTCTGATTTTGCTAATCTTCAACTTTATCTCAGAGCCCTTTCAGTACAGATTGTAATTTCTGATGCATGTTGACTCAATTCTTGGCCTCAGTGATTTGATCTTTAACTTCTGTCCTGTTGGATAAACCTTGAAGAAAATCTTGTGAAGTGGAGACAGTGTCTTAAACTGAATCTGTGAAGCTGTTGTGGCAAACAAATACAAACTGTGTATTTCCTCCTTTGTAAATTTTTAAAGTTGATTCACCAGATGCCTTACCCATCTTGTGATGGTTTGTTGATGTTATCATGTGAATAATGCTTTCTGTGGACATGAAGCTGCTGTACATCTTAAAAAAAGAATTGTCCTTGGAACAAGGAGAATCAACTCCTAGCGTCCATCTTTTCTTTTTTTATTCATGTTAAACTATTTTAACACTCCTTTGAAGACTGATCATGCATGAAGGAGAAAAAATATCTGGTCATGATAATTGGTTTATTACATTTAATATTTATTTAGATGTTGAAGTGGAGCTGCTTCCCACTTAATTAGATATAATTGTGAAACTATTGGCAAAGCATAAATAATGTACTTCATGACCTTCATACCTCTACCTTTTCCACCTTTTTTACCTCCCTACAGATTTTTTTTTTCAATTCATTAAGCTCAGTTTGAAAAATGATTGAAAATCTCCCTTACCATGTGTGTAGCACGGAGCCTAGGACCTTTATGTAGTAATTAAAACAACATGTCAGGCAGGGGCTGGCTTTTTGTTGTGTCTTTGTACAGTGCCTAGCACAATGATGGCTTGATCCCTGATTGGGCCCCCCAAGCATTGCAATATAAGTGGTGGTGATGTTGAATTAGCTGTTGCTAAGGGCAAGATGACAGTATATGCAACATAAAGAAGGTAATATACAGCACTTGTTAATTATCAACTTAAAAAAAACCTTATTAACTGTGTGAAATAACTAATGTGCATTTGTAGGAAGGTAAAAATACAGGAATTACTATACCTGATTAGACCACTGATATCTGGAGCAGAAACCTGTCCCTGAGAGTGACCAGTAACCAAGGCCCTACATTTTTGTTTTTATTTTGTTTAAAATTTCCCAAGAAATATACAAACTTAAAAAAGGTGAAAATCAGTGCAAGAAAATTAACTTCACAGTTTTCTGGGTAAATATCAGGGTTAATATATGGAAGACAAAAGAAATGGAACAAATAGAGAAAAATAAGACTTTTTCTGGATCCTGGTCCCTGCTTCAGAAGGAGAGATGACAGCTTGGTAATGTGGGCGGCCAAGGTATCTGAGCTGCCATCTCTCCTCTGGAGTAGGCCCACATGAGGTGGAGGAGGCAGTTAGAAGAAACGACATGCTTGCCTCCTTCATTTCTTCCACTTCCAGGTCCACTTTGGGCCCATTCTGAAAGGAGAGATGGTGGTTAAGTTACCTGGGCTGCTCAGGTTATTGAGCTGGGTGGCATCTCTCCTTCTAGAGCAGAGAGCTGGGTCCGGGGAGTTCCGGCACTCTTTTTGTTTTTTTAAGGACTAAAGCTCTGATGTACGCATGCACATCTGTATGTATCTTCCAATACACAGTCTTATATTAACAGACAGCCTTGTATTTACACTTAGACTAATTTATTAACATAAACACATCTACCTAATGTAAAGTATTTGATTTTTGTTAACATAATCCATATTTTCATATATTTGAGCGGTCTGAAATTCAGGTCAAAGGGAGTAAAAAACTGAATAATAGCTTTTGTAAAAGCCAGGAATTTTACAGTAAAAATGTGCAAAAAGCAACACAGGAGGGTCTTACCAGTAAAACATGCTTCACCCCATAGTAAAAAAAAGGGTATTACTTTCCCATAATAGATGTTTCATCCTGCCAGGGGTAGGCAACCTATGGCATGCATGCC